TGAGGCGCATTGACCAACAGTTCGTTGGTTGCTTCTAGTGTCTCTGGGGTGCAACACATAAGTGATAAACAAGTAAAACCTTTGCTCCTACTCCACGGTTGCGAAACCTGGACTATTAGATCGGCAGACATAAATAGGCTAGTCACGTTAGACAGTCCTCGTGTTCACAGTTTAGTTCATGTTTGGTAGAAACACTGCGTGAGCAATCAGTGTGCAGTGTCGTTTATTTGGTGCGGGAATGGCAAATGATCTGCTAAGCACCGTCATCTTACGCTCAGATGGCCAGTTCACATGTTACGCATGCTGGAACACTGACTCACGCGCTGTGCGTTATTTGCGTGACTGGGGGTGTGAATGGAAGACGAGAGGGGGAGGGTAAGCGATGCTTTGGACAATAACTATGAAATTCTCACTTCGAACTTGGCCTCATTTGATGTCTGCAGTCTTCAGGACTGGGGCCCGAAAGATAATGGGCACATTTGGTCGCATACATTTGTTGACAAGTTGAAAAGCCGACATAAACATCGTTCATGTTGTAAGTTTGTTTGTTTTTTCAACTGTGATCCTCCACCTGATCCATACTCTTATGCGAAGCATTATATTACTTTGGTTTGTTGTTAATATTTTTCAAGGAACTAAATATTTTTCATACCTCGTATCCTTTTGTTTTGCAAAACAATAGCGTAGAGGTTTCACGCCTGTAGCTAACGTGAAAAACATACGTGTGCTGCTCCGGGGATCAGCAAGCTCTAACTACTGGTTGATCCTGGCAAATAACATGACATGATGATGACATGATGATATGAGAATAAAGCTTTTTGACACTGGTGTTTTCGTGGCTGGTTGTTTTTGCTCATCTTGCCAGTGGCTTTTAATATATAAAGGTGGCCTACTTTATCGGTTATTTTTCCACAATTGTAGCGTCATAAACAGCATGGCAGACCTGGCCAAGGGTAGTTCAAAGAGTTGAGCTGTTGCCGATAGTGTTTGGAGAACAGCTGGATAGGTGATGTCTAAACCCACGACATATTTTGTACTGTAGAGGGGTGCGATGCACATTAGTTCATTTTGTTTTTGTTCAGTTGAACCACCCTTATTTTCTACTCATATGCGATTCAATTGTACTCGAATACGCTGGCTTGAAATTCAACTTATCCCCGGATATTGCGAGGTCAAATTAAAATGCGTTGAAATGGCACTTGAAACTAGGACAACAACATATCTGCCAACCTTCACGCATGACACTACGTTCAAATTTATCTTGCTTACACACAATGTTAACAAGTTGCGATAAAAATGTGTATGTTATTCGAATTCTGCAACCTCTGGCAGTAATCTACCACCCAGTTATTGTCGCCAACATTGAGCTGTCCCTGCAGGAACGTCGCGCGCTACAACCAGTACAGAATGCTGGAAGACGCGTTTCGACGGCCTGACTGAAGTCGCAATCCAAATGGATTAGTTCCTGCCTCCATATGTATCTTTCGGAGCTTGTTGATTAGCTATAAATAATTCAGTAAACCCATTGTGCAGCCGGTTAGTGCCTGGCAATTGTAGAAAAGTTATAACGGTCAGACCACTTCGGTTCGACAAAAAATAATGCAAACTATGGAGCAGCGGCGCAGACTGCGGGACAAATTCATTATCTATGGCTCGATCGACGACTATAATGTGATAAAAGGCAGCAAAACATCTACAGCAGCGCACTCCGAGCCACAATACTTTCACATAATTTTGAACCATTTATTTGGTTTTTGATGGATTGTGTATTGATTTTGCCGGACATTGTTACTATTTTATCATTCTGTGATTTGCGCTAAGTAGTCCAATAACTTCCAGTTCAAGTTTACCAGTTTTTCCTCCTGAACATTCAACCACATTATTTTGCACTGATGACACTTCGGCCAGCGTTTTTGACCGCTGTTTAATGATATGAGAAATCTGAAGCATGAAACTAACCGAACATGCGTCCCAAAATTACACGCTATTTATGGGCACACTGTGTCTGTTGCTCCCTGGATTCTTGTCTATTTATTTAACTTACTTGATACAGAGCGAACATGTGATTCCAGCGATGGCAGCCGTCACCAGTTTGTCTGAGCTACAACTAACCTTGGGCTTGTACAGTTGAGACCCCATCTACAGGCCAGTCGACCCAGTGGACCAACATTTTTAAATTGGTTGGTGGCATCCGGTTTCGGATTTGCCTGTCACTGTGGCCAGCCACAGGACGCCTGCGCCTACAGAGAGACCATGGGATGGCTGCACCACCCACAGCTCCGAACACACACCCCATATCCAGTGTAAACCCGAAGGAATAAGACCGGGAGGCATATGGATGGGAGCCACGTCCCATCAACGGAGCCGGCCCACCCTCCTTCACAGGCAAACACAAGCACGCTGTATTTGAGGAATCAAGTGCACACAAGGCGGTGGCTGGACCGTAGTCCGCTCCACACTGAGGGCATGGAACCACTCTTCGAGCCTAGCACGACCACAAGTACCGTGCACGCCGTCCCCTCCAGCAACGACAAACTGTCTCCTGGAGCCAGATGGACGAGGTAGTGGGTAATAGACAGGTAGGCACCTTGTCAACCTGCACATCAAGCGCAGCCGCACCTGGGATGTCAAACAACAGCCAATCATCCGATATGTAGATATCGAATAAACGCAAAAGACGACATAAATACTCGCTAAATGAGCAAAGAGAAGAAATTGGTTGTAAGTGAATCCGTGATAATTGCAACATGTCCGAGTTATGTAAAAAAAATACCACGCGATACAATTACGCAAGTCCGCCGCAATTTGCATGAGCGATGTGTGCAAGTTGGGAGAAGATTATCAAGTACGCAGAACAAACCACATTATATGTAATGTATTTTATCCACATTAAAAGACCTAGTTTAAGTGTAAGTTGGTTTAACCTAACTGCTGTGAAAAAGCATCATGAATGCAACATCAGCCTCAGCATGGGGCAAAACATGCTGTGCAGAATAAAGCACCAGTCTAATTCGCAAAAACCTGATAACATGCCAGTGTGACAAATGTTAAGCACACTAGGCAATTTTATCGGTTTATATAGGTACTCCGCATACCTGTTTTTGCTATTCCGGACTTGATGCTAGCGCAATGGAAAACTGGAGAACTTGCGTTTAAGTCAGCGGTAGCATATCGGCCCGTCCGATAGACTAACGTGCATGCGACTGGGCAGCTTGACGTTTACTTACAACTTCCTTCTCAATGTATTCACGATATCCGCATAGCGAATCTACAATCCTTGCTGGCTCGTGTCTCAGACCTAGGGGTACAAAGGATACTGTAGTCTGTGTGGGCCATATAACCCTATACCTAACGGCCCAATGGACGAATGTCCCTTACTAACACGTACATCGTAGGTTCTTACTGAGTGAGTGGCATGAATAACGACAATCGCTGTGCAGAAACTGATTTGTCAATAATATGACAATGCAGTTGTTACCTTATTTTCTTAGGGCAATATGGCAGCCTGTGGTCCTCTGTAAAGACCGTGAAAAATTGAAAGTGTGACGTTGTCCTAAACATGCACTCAAGTATAATTGCACCAGTATCCATAAAAGATCAAACATTAGGTATACATAACAAAAGTACATGGATTAATGGAACTAAACGCAGTTGGGCTAGGTTAGTTTAATTAAAAGCGAACAAGGTACGGTGCACTCGGCTTCAACCAAATCTTCAGCAAATAGCTCTAATTTGACGTAAATTTGGCTCCACACTGGCTAAAGAGAGATAGAAGTCTATGTAAGACTTATAAACTTCATCACACCCTGTGCTTCCTATTCCAAAAACTATCACGATAGCTTTTCGTGAGGCTAAGAAGAACGAAATTCCCAATGAAATATAGTCCTTTACTCTCTTCTGTTTAATGTATTTCATAACACACGTAACCACGTGTTATTTCAACATCCCGCAATGGCAGAAGCACTTCAGCCCTTAGTATGATAAAATGTATAACTGTCTAAACATGGCGGACATTACTTTGCGAAGCTTCTCCTCGGACGTGTGTAGTTGATTGCCATGGATTTCATTTAGATCTTTAACATTTAAGGATGACGGTGATTTGATAAGTTGGTGTTATTTAGAACCTTGGAGAACTGTTAATTCAAGAACTTGTCTGTTGCATCCAGGAAAAGTGAATATGTAGCCCCATTCTTCAAAAACATCAGTAATCATCCGAGCAGCATACACGCTGTGTCGTTTGCTTGGTCCTAATTAAAGGGGTTGTAGTTCTGGGGCCAATCCTCTTCTCTCCACCTTCATGACATGTATGACAGAGAAAAAAGTCGCAACAAGTAATCAAGTATGGAAGTCCACTATTGTCAGCCATTGTCTGTAGGCTTAAGTCGCTGGCCCACGCGATTAGGCAATGGGTCCTGATTTGTCAGGATTCGATGGCTATACGGTAGCGATTGATCCCATTAAGGGTGAAACCGATCAATTTGTGTTAACAAAATATTTCTTATAGCGCACCATAGGACCCATCTCGATTGGTATTGGAACTTCTGAGGCTAAGTGACACAGCTCAGCTAGTAGATCAATATCGCAGCCGTAGCTGCATGTCCGTCGCAGGTAAAGTCTTACCATATGTGTGCTTACATGTGGTCAGATAATACATGTTAGCTCTTCCTCGTAGCAACCATGTTCACGCCTTATCGCAATCGACACGATAAAAGACTGTAGTTGATAATATAACTTTATTCGTCGAAAGAAGCATAAAAGGTGTCAGATACATGATGAAGTATTGCCGTCGTGTGGAATCAGTAACTCAGCAAAATAACCACTTAACAGGTGTAAAAATAAACTGTACTTAAAACTTTATAAAGGTTAACATCAATTTCATCATGTGCTTCAGTGATTATGCGAGCTGAGTGCACATAGAAATGCACTAGGTAAATTAGCAAGGCTGGGCCGTGCACGAGTAGGGTGGCGTTTCCGCACTGTAATTGGATAAATTCCTTGTTTTACTCCAGAGGAAGTGATTGTTCTTCAAAGGCGCTGTAAATTGCATACGATTTGCAGGCCGTTATGATAATGCGTGTCAAACTACCATAAATCAGTGGACAGAATGACTTATGAATGAAAAGAAGGCGTGTTTTATCTGTTTCACATATGGACCAATGTCGAAATAAAAAGCGCCCAGAAAATCAATATTTGCATGTACATTTTCAAGGGCTATGATGGAGTGTGCCTTTTTGCTACTTAAACATTCACCTCATAAGAAACAGAATTAGTAACGTCAAATAATGTAATTGATGCTCCGGAAATTTTCCTCTTTTTCAGTTCTTCATTTTATTACACAAACGCAGTTATTTCAAATGTCCTAATATGTTCTTATAATCTTATACTACAGCTTTATTACAATGTGAAATAATGTATGCCAGTAAGTGAACAGAATTATCCAACCACTTGCAGCGTTTAGTCGATTAATTATACCGCGCATGGTTAGCAACCGCCTACAAGACAGACTACAAATACATTGGTGTGGCTGCGACAACCTAACCTCAATAGCTTAGTGTGTACTCTTGAGTATAAACCGTGTAAATTTGGAGCCTTGTGTAATTAAAACAGAACAGTAATAAGCAAAAATCACGCATTGGGGTAACGCAAGTTATATCGACCCTACAGACTGAGGCTGTAATCAGTTGACCTAAAATATAAGTGTTCCCTTTTGACACAATGACTCAAAATGCTGTACATTGTGAAGGATTTCAAAGAAACGTGAAAAGTACTAGCTGCATATCTGGCGTAAAGTTAGGTGGCAAATCGTTGTCTACCCAAATTTGCCCAAATATGTTCTGATAATAATCCGGATTTGCTGTTATTTGTAAGAATTGTCAACAAGTATGCATACTCGCATTTGTACACCTTGCACGACAACAACTCAATTCGAACCATCTCATTTGAAAAGTTTCGTGCTCAGGTAGATGATCACGAATCGTTAGGTTTTAGAAAGAAAATTATCATTTTTAATTACAACACAGTAGGACCTAGTCACATAATTGTTATGACCCGTCGAAGGTTAATTGGTTTCGAAGCAAATGAATATGTAATGACAGTTGTAGAAGTAGGGAGCGAACAAATGGATTTTGTACGCACAGCTTTGGCTTACTGTGGTGGACAGGAGATGTTTTCAAAATCGTCGTGTGACTCACTCAGGAATGGGAGAGATGAAACGGAATTAACTTTTAAAACCATGACCTTACACAAGGTGTGACATGATAAGCTATACAAATAAATTGATTCTATGCCGTAAAGTCAATTCGTGTTGTGCTTACAATTATGTTAGGTAGACGCTTCATAACACGACCTACGTATCTTGCATCACAGAAGCACGATTATTGGTAAGGGTTAATGAAGTGAGTGAAAGTGGTATTTCTCTTTTTGGTTTTGCGAGCAAATGCTTTCTGTAATATACTATGTCGACTACCTTCAGTGACAGGTTGTTTTATTAGTACAGCCGTTAAACTGAACATCCTAATCAACATTCAGCCCAACACTGCATATTTAACAACTACTACTTCATATGTAAATACCCGAGTCTAATGAGACCTTTATGCAAAATATATGTTTCTGGGTCTATGTCAATGTGCTTGGTATAACTGACAGCCGCTGGTGAGAACTGCGGGAAAAATGGATGTCAATTTTACCTAACCGTACAATTTCAAAGCCCTGCTTATATGTATCAAGTTTGCGCTAAAAATCGCAAGATTGTAGCTCGCATGTAACCATCTTGAAGCTATCTGATTTGCAGTAGCCAAAACCTACATATTTATGGATGTAAATAATGTAGTGTGTTGCCATAGAAAGCAAACTCAATAGGAAGTTAGGACAAAGAGTATTACTTACCTCAAACGTTGTGTTAACTTTTTCTTTGAAGACCGACGGTACTGCCATAAGGCTACGATCGATATCATGCTTAAGATAACTGCGAGAGACGATATGATAAACTGTTAAAAGGACAAATATAAGCATATGAATACTGCTGAATTCCAGTGATTTCTTCGTTTGCGAGGTATGTCTACAAAATCAATAACGGAAACGTAATGATATCGTCAATAGTAGAATTTTTAAGCGTAAACCTTTAGGGGGTTCATCCCAGTAACATGAAATCATCTGGTCCCCCACATGCCGGGAAAGGCATTCGACTACAGTTTCGACCTGTTCGGTCTCGGCAATCATGCGCATAATCTGCTGGCTGGTTACTCAAGCCGCCAGTGCTTATACGTTCGGATCCAAATGAATTGCAATTTATGCTCAATACTGATAAGACCCTATAAGTCGTCTAGTTCTTTTCCGGTTATATGGAGGAAACACAATGAGCTTAGGCTTATTTTGTAAACTACAGAATCACGCATAGATGAAGTTATGCACGTGGCGAAAGAATCGTGAGCTGCTCATCAAAATAGAGACGAATTCGCGGGCTTACTGAATAACGTCGTCCGTCAGATATAAATTTTCGATTACCTACTCTTTAATCCATTGTAAAAAGTTGAAATAGCTTCATCTCTTGTTATCACTACTTTCATGGATAAAGCCGTTCTCATGTTGCTGCAAGGCGACAGACGATAAAAAGGATTAAGTTTTGTTTGAAATTATAGAGCAAAGGCCCTATATCCGTAAAAGAGGATAGTACTGTAGTTTAATTTCGTTGAAAGCTCCAGAAATGTCTATATTGTCTGTTGCACGATAATTCGTTCTTACGAATTGTGTCGTCGAATGCTTTTGGTTAGGATGATCATAGTTTACGCATCCATTTTGCATCTAACTATAGTGAGTTACGCGAATCTACACATAACTCGCAAACGAAAGCACGCAAACTCCTTGACAGTTTACATCAAATTTCCGGTTCGTCTATTATGCACGCCTACCCGTTTATAGTCTAAATGGGTCAACTGCTTGGTCGAAGGCTCTTGACATCCATTCTGAAACGGTGGTCATAGGATGCCGGTAGCTTGATTAGGTACCGTTGGTGATTTGGGAGTGAAATGGATGCAGATCCTATATATTTATTTCGTTTGGATAGCAAGGCTCAAACGTTACAAAGTGTCAGGTACATCTTGGTCTTTAAATAGTGCAAAAAAGCAGACCTTAAATTTTGGGACAGGCCAAAGTGTGAAAACCGGAATTAGGAATGCATCATCATTCTGCTCTTCTTGAAAACGATAATGTCAAACTGTGCGATGATTTGACACCGAACTGCCATTCGAGATTCTGCGCATATAGTGGTGAGTATTTTGAACCTGGTTTCTCTTCAGCCGCTTGTGAAACTTGCTGCATTGTGAATAAATGAACCGTGAACTAGTTGACGGTAGTGCATGGATGGCGTTTACATGCTGCACACATCCTTAAGATATCGGGTCCATTTACCTACACATGATGATGATAAATGATATAGAGAATCAACAAGCTGCCTAGTCATGTAGTGCATATCACTCACCAAAACGGAGCACGCTGACACTTTAGGTTTGCCTTCAATAGCTGCAATAAAAAGATGATACAATTCAAAGAGCGATCCAAGTAAGAATACGCATAATTAATGTTAGTGTGTTTATAATGTTAGCACTTATATTTACCTGAACGTTTTACAAACAGATTTCGGAGAAATAGAAACAGTTTGTAGACTTGGGGTTGTTTAGAATTACATGAAGTCAAGGTCATCCTCATACACGCGTGACGTGCGTGCTCCTGGTTCATTTGGATTATTCCTCCCTATCCTCCCTCCATCTTCTCACAGCGTTGTCTGTACGCTCATTCGAACCGGATTTACCAGCTCTACAGAGTTATCCATCATACTTGGAAATATCTACCACGATTAGAGGCCGTGCCATCATTAACCATTTTCACTGGCATCTGTGATTAGGCGCAAGCTTTTAATTCAATCATATTGAGCCGATTGCCTTTATGTGTGACACCATTTGATACAGAATTCTCGACGTAGGCCGCAAAGCTTAAGCTTATTCCCATCCAGTGTTTCTCAACACAGCTGTGAAATAATCTGTGATCTGTCAATCTGTGTTCAGCGCTGTTCAGGATCCAGACACTCACCATTACTTTGACCTTGTCAACCAGTACGGCTGCATAACCCATCACACGGACCGCGCGACCACGCCGACCGCTTATTTGACCTTGCAACCACCACGCTCGTCTGACCAATGAGCGCCGCTCTCAAAGCTGTAAATGTACAGAACGCTAACCAACCCACTGCGTCAGGTAGCGACACCAAATTGAACGGCAGAAAGCCGAAACCGAAGAGACTCCAAGCGAAAGGCATTTGCGGGTTAGGAGAATGCCATCGAGTAGTAAAAATCGGTCTGGCTTGTTCGCACTGTTGGGAATGGTACCATACTAAACGTGCAAATGTGTCCCAACAACAGTTACAGGAGTGAAATAGCTCCCAAGATGCATTTTTGTTCTGTACTGCGTGTTCCACCATCCCCCTCGTTAAGTGCTTGCTTATCCTAGCTCAGAAATGCGATCGGTTAATCACAGAAGCAGAGCAGAGGATAAACAATAAGATTACTTCAATGGAAGCGAGTATGGACCACAGAAGCGTAGCGGCTTCTAAGCAACGGAATGCTGAACAATCCGCTTCCCCTGAACAGCAATCAGCTACCTCTCCATCTCCGTTGTCTTCTACAACTTTGGAAGAATGTCGGGCGAAAACAGACCGTACCTACGAGGCTCATACAGTACTCACATCAAAGCAAATCAGGCACCATTCAAAACGTCTGGTTAAGCAAATTCCACTAGACCTGACATCTAGCATTAGCAAGGATAAAGCAGCCAAACACCGACCCTTGGTACCTGTAGCTCAAATATCTCTTGTCGAGACTAAGCCTACCAGAACATCAGTTACATATGCAGAGATTGCTGCAAGGGTCCACCGAGAGGCCGCCGTTGCGTCTTCTTCCATTGTAAACACTGTTAACACGAATAGAGAGACAAACACCAAACAATCAACACTTGTCAACAAGCCAGGACAAATGAGTACCATACCTTGTAGATCGACGAAAAAGTGATCCAACAACAGTGCCCGGACTGTTGTATGCTCAAATGTCCCTGAGTCTACCGCCATCACATTGCGGGAGAAGTTGTCTGACAACCAAGACCAATGGAACTCATGGTGTATGCAGATGAGTATCAAAGCCAAGCCTATAAACTTGTTACGAATTACTTGTCATCCGAAATCGCCACGCTATAGCGAACCGAGACTTATTCGAGTAACTAGAATCCTCCACCGACGTAGAAAACGTTTTGCTCTCCGTAAGAGCTGTGGGATACGTATCTATCCTAATGTCCCTTGGAGCGCGCGACAACCAAAACGAAACACAGAAGAGGGGCACAGCAAGCAAGACCGCCTAAAAACTATCTTCATACATGGCGTGCCAGAACATCCTTCTAACGATGTTCAAGAGACCGGAAAGCACGATTTAGAACAGTGACGGTTCATTCGTTAAACACTTTCTTTGGATAATGTTGTGGCACTATCGCTCACCAGGATACCACTTTCACCAAATTATTGAGGATGCGGCTCTAGAATCTTAAAAATTGTGGTTTAGTCAGAGCAACAAACAAAGGATGTTTTGGATCGATGGCGGAGAAATCGGGAACATCTTCCTTCTGAAATTCGGTTAAAGGTCGCAAATATTTTTCACAGCTCAAATATTAAAGCAACTGAAGCAGCAAGTATACCGACGAATTTAAAAAAGTGTAACTTGACTGCTGCTTTAATTGACTCTGACGTAGGTCTAAACGAGGGATGGGAGGCACCTTGGCCGAATCAAGTCGCTAACGAGGTTTCATTGACCCATCAAAAAAACGCGCAACTGCCTACCTCCTATCGGTCAGCATTCTCCCACACGTGATCGCTTCACCCCACTGTGGGCTTCTAGAGACCGAGAAACTGGCCTGCTTGTATACAAATGCTCAGGGTCTTTTTACTAAACTGGCTGAACTGAAAGATCGCCAAGCTTCCGGCTCGTATGATGTCATTAGTATCATCTAGACGTGGTTGCACACGGCAATGACGGACGCTGAAGTTCCGCTATTTGGCACGTCGCTGATCCGGAACGACAGGCTCACAAAAGGAGGAGGGGTAATCCTGTATTACCGAAACGACTTACAGTGCGAAGCCGTAGAGGATTCAGATCCACAGTTCCCCGACTCGCTTTGGCGCCGGTTGCAGTTAAAAGGCAGGGACGCTTGCCTTATTGTCTTGGTGACCGCGCCCCTAACTCAACACCCGAAACCGACTACCATCTAGCGGCTGCTTTAAGGTGCAGTTCACGACAAAACTACACTCACATTCTTATCACGGGGGATTATACGTACATTGTTTAGAAGCCCCTGCCTCGATTGGAGAACAATTCAAAACCGATCTACAAGATCTAGCAGCTACTGTTCCTCTTTACAATCACATCACTTTGCCCACTCGGTTCGGAATTGGTAACAGGCCATCTGTGCTGGATATGATGCTTACCAACGAGGAGCATATGCTTGATGCGTTGGTTTTAGACTGCCCGTTGGATTACAGTGATCACGCAGTGATCAATTTCAACTTCGTCTGCCACGCAGAATATCTGGATGATAACGATGAGACTGTGTGAACCATCACAAGGAACGACCGATTTACTCAGCTCGTCAGCGCCACAACTTGGTCTTTCCTCGAAGAAGAACCCCCAGAAGTCGCCTTGCTCGAGTTCGTCAACAAATTCAGTCAGCTGATTGCACAGGCTTTAGAGATAAAAGTTTGCTATAAATGTAAATCAGTTTCTTTCGTTAGGAGCAGAACCCGAAAATGGATGACAGTACGCAACGCAGCATGGCGAGTGTACCGATAAGCTTCAACACCAGAAATTTGGGCAACTACGTAGCCCAACTTAACCACTGCACTCGACTGTTAAAAGAAGACAAAGCCGCCTATCAACAGAACATCGAAAAACCTTCAGTGCTAACCACAACCTGCTGTACAAGGAGGTTAATAGCCTACGAAAGGTGAGGCAAGAATTTCCTCCACTCAAGACGGCTGATGGCCCAACAATAACGGCTGTGGAAGCAGCAAACGCGCTGCAGATGCAATACGCCCCCACGTTTCAAAGAGTCTTGCCACCAGGCGATTTACCAAGCTTTGCCTTCTGCTCGCCAGGACTAACCCATATCACTTTTACCGCAGAGGCTGTATTGCAAAAGCTGACTTCTCTACGCAAACACAGCTCGCCGGGTGTCGACACCATTCGCCCCGAGGCATTGGGAGCAGCAGCAAGCCAACTGGCAGGACCTTTATCTCAGTTTTTCCAACGCTGCTTAGACCAGAACCAAGTTCCCACCATGTGGAAGCTTGGAATAATAACCCCGATTCACAAAGGTGGAAGCAAAACTAATCCCTCCAACTACCGCCCAGTATCCCTTCTTGCTATACTCTCCAAGGTTATGGAATCCATAGTTGCCGATGCACTGGTGTGCTACCTGGAAAACTGCAACCTCATCACTCCTGAACAGCACGGTTTCCGTTGACAGCGGTCATGTACAACGAATTTACTCATTGCACGCAGTAGTTGGACCGAGGCAGCTGACGCTGGAGGTGTGGACGTGATCTACCTGGATTTTGCAAGGCTTTCGACTGTCTATACCATCGGATACTACTATCCAAGCTGTATCATTACGCGATCGGAGACCCTCTTTTAAGCCGGATCTCCAACTTTCTACATCAACGACAATTATTGGTCAGAGTTCGGAGCTCTTTATCGGATCCCATAAAAGTAGAGTGCGGTGTGCCGCAAGGCTCAGTTGTAGGTCCACGTTTGTTTTTGGTGTTTATTAATGACCTTGGACAGGGAATCGCTTCAAACTTCCTAATGTTTGCCGAGGGTACCAAGATCTGGCGCAGGATCCAGGCAAACGCCGACCAACATGTGCCTCAGAGTGATTTAGATACGGTGTATATTGATACTGATACTCATATTGATTTTGGGTCGACATGGTCGACCCAAAACTTATTGCATCTCAACGTCAATAAATGCAAGGTGCTTTCCATCCGACATCAGAGCAGCTACTCATACTGACTCGAAACGAATATACTACAACATTCAACTCTCGAAAGTGACTTCGGTGTGCTGGTTCAAGATGACTTGGGTTGCTCCAGGCAATCCGAAAAGGCCTCGAAGACCGTGAACCAACACGTCGGGCCGTTGAGACTGGCATTTGGACAAATAAACAGCTCCATATTCCGACAAATACTCAGTGCGTATTTTTGCCCCCATGTCGAATACGCAATTAAAGCCCGACATCCATGGCTGATACACGACCTTAATGCGCTGGAGCAGCCAGGAGGCCGGGAATCTAAGAACCTATTTGAAATGTGCAATCTTTCCTACCAGGAGAGACTGCAACGACTGGGATTGTTCACCAGAAGCTATCGCATACTACGAGGCGACCTGATTATGGCATACTTGATTCTGCGAGACCCACATCATGTGTGC